TGACATATCTCTCGACATACTTCTTAATCAAGATCGAACCCATTACTGTGAATAAGAAAGTAGGACTACAACCTATGGCCAATCATGGTACTGGATCAAAGAGTGTCTCTCTTTACAATAAAGATGGTCGCATGGTGGATAGTAAGGATATTGATTAACAAAATGCATGAGGCCTATAACAATGAGTTGGCTGGAAAAAGTTTTGCCTGTGATGGCAAGAAAAGTTTGTTCACTATGAGATCCCTTCCTAATAACAAGCATGAGTTTACTGTTGTACTTGAGGATTCCATATCAAAGAGAAATAATGAGAATGCAAGCCCAAACGGTAATAACAACCCAAATGAGCATGAAAGGAAGAGAAAGAGACGCCCTTATAACTCAAAGGCGTTTAAAGTGGAGATAAGCTTTGCTTCCAAGATTCCCATGCAAGAAATTCAAAGTAATTCACGAGTACAGGAATATGAGAACTCACAAGAAGCACTAAGGGTGGTAGATATAATTTTGAGGCAATATGTCTTATTGTTCGCCAGTTTTTCTTCCATGACAATCATAATAATTTTACAGACATTGGAGGAGGTAGACTTGGCTGTAGAGGTTGTCATTTGAGCTTCTAAGTCATGTAAGGAGACTTTTTACTGGATATTAACGTGTTAACTACGATAATGATTCATCCAGTTCCAGTAGTTGGTCATCAATGCATGAGATCCTTACTCACTTGACTAAACATGGACCAAAAGATTATTCTATAATCACAGGATTAAAGTTTTCTTACAATAAAGAGTATAAGATGTCCAGATTGAGTGAGAAAATGTACAAATATCAGGGGGGTTTTCATGAAGCCGTCGGTGCTGGGGCAAGATCAGATCTAGAAAACATGAGAAAAGATCAAGAGTACTCTTCAAAAATGATAATGCCAAGAATAACACATTTGCATTTTAGGCATACTTCAGGACATTACATTCATGACATCATATACGCATATATACATATATATAAACAATTTTACATATTGTTCGAGTCAATTTTAATTTCACGATGAAGGACATTGCACTCGAAGCATCCAAGATCCGCTTAGACCCACGAAGAAGAGTCATCTTAAATAGTTTAAACCCGTGAAGGGGAACCACCTAAATAATTTTTTTACCTAGCTTTCTCATTAAGGGGAGTTATTCGAAGAATCAAGATTGGATTAAACCACGAAGGGAGTCATTTTGTTCGGCTTAGACCCATGAAGGAGAGCCATCCTTAACTTGGAGAAATCATCTACATCATAGCTTAAGTCGAGAAGAGCTAGATGTCAACCAATCATTTTGAGTTCGATACCACTCAGTTTGAGAACGCATCGACCGCAAGGTAGCAACAAAGAACTACTTTCGGGTCATCTTACTTGGATTTCCCGTAAAAGGAAGTCATCCAAAGAACCAAGATCGGCTTAAACCGCGAAGGGAAGTCATCTTGTTAGGCTTAGACATAGGAAGGGGAGTAATCCTTCACTTGGAGTAACCTTCCACAACATAGATTAAGGTGAGAAGAGCTATCTGTCGACCAAAGTTTTTGAGTTCAATTCCACTCAGCTCGAGAGCACGTCGAACGCATGGTAGCAGTGAGGAACTACCTTCTAGTTAAATTTTAAATCAAAGTTCTTAAGCCAAGAAGAAGACCTATATTGATTGCGATTTAACAAAAAGGAAACACTTCCCAGTCAAATTTCGACATAGCTTACGGCGAAAAGAGCTATTTGTCAGCCAAAGTTTTTGAGTTCGATTCCACTCAGCTCGATAGCGCATCGACTGTATGGTAGTAGCAAGGAACTACCTTCCGGTCAAATTTCAAACCGAGTCCTTTAAGCCAAAAAGAAAACCTAGGTTGACTGCAATTTGATAATAAAGAACCTATTTCCAGTCAAATTTTGACATAGTTTTAGGCAATAAGAGTTATTTGTCGACCAAAGCTTTCGAGTTCAATTCCACTCAGCTCGATAGCGCATCGATCGCATGGTACCAACGAGGAATTACCTTCTGGTCAAATTCCAAAGCTTTCAAGTTCGATTCCACTCAGCTCGAGAGAAGAACACATTAGTCGCATGGTAGCAGTCATGAACTACCTTCCGATTACATTTTAAACCGATGTCTTTAAGCCAAGAAAAAGACCTAGGTTGACTGCAATTTGGAAACAAAGAATCACTTCCCAATTAAAATTCGATATAGCTTAAGGCGAGAAGAATTATTTATCAAGAAAAAGCTTCCAAGTTTGATTCGCTCAACTTAAGGGCATAGTGACCGTGAGGTAGCAATGAGTAACTACTTTTCGATCAAGCATCAAACCGAGGTCTTTAGGTTGGAACAAAAGCTCTCAAGGTGACAAGAGATATCCGTCAAACAAAAGCTCTCAAGTTTGATTCCACACAGCTTGAAGAGTACATTGGCCTAATGGTAATAGCAAGGAATTACCCTTCGATCAAACATCAAGCCAAGGTATTTAAGTTGAGAAGAAGATAAAAGCTTTTGAGTTTGATTCCATTCAGTTCGAGAGTGTACCAACCGCATGGTCGTAGTGAGGAACTACTTTTTAGTCAGGCATCAAATCGATGTCTTTAGGTCGAGAAGAGGACCAAGGATTAGAGCATTCAAGTTCGGCTCCATTCAGCTCAAAAGCATATTGATCATATGGTAGCAATAATGAACTATCTCCCAACCCAAATTCTGATAGAGATCAATTCAACGAAAACCTTTGAGTTCGTTTCCATTCAACTCAAAAACACATTGTTTGTCATGTTAATAATAAAGAACTATCTTTCGGTCAAGATTTTAATATCAGTTGCAATCTAGCAACGAGGAGCTAGTCTCTAGCTAAAATCATCGTACTTTAATCAACCCCACAACTCAGGAAATGATCATTTGTAGATTTCAAACCAAACTCTTGAAGAAAAGCTTAACGTCTCGACATTAGAAGAGTAAGCTCGACTTCGAAATCCATTTGTTTGTAGAATCGAACGAAAATTTGTGTCTTTTTATCTTTTTTCTTTTGTCATTTCACGACAATGGACAAAGAGTGGCAATTGTAGACACCCATTTTTATCTCAGATTTATTTCGAACATTTTGATTTTTTCTTTATTTTCTTTTTAATATTTTTATTATCATCATTATTATTTTTTATTATTTACTTTATTTATTATTAGTACTAGTATTATTAGCGCCAGGTACTAATTTATTATTTTATTTATTTTGGTAGGTTCAAAAAACTCAAATAGAACAATGTGGCAATTCATACAAATCAACCTATTGCTATAAAGCCCAACAAAGGCCACAACCTTAATAATTTTGGGAACCCTAGGGTTCCTAAGACTCTAACCGCCATATAAGATGCTTCGAGGAGAAGTTGTTGACACCTGGGCGCGTGTATGGCACATTCTAACGTTTCATCTCCACCACGCGCGTCCATGCGTCGACAACCCTTCCTCGTGCCAAAATTTCAAGCTTCCACAATAGTATTTTGACAAGGAAAATATTCACGTGCACAAGCAAGGAAACAATTGCAATTAGAATCAAATCCAAAATAATCAGATTAAATGAAAAATATTTCAATATGAATACGTAATGGTTGTATAAATCAGGGGACAATCGATTGTAAGGGGTGGAGCTGAATGAAAAAACAGTAGGGATAGTGGGGGTACGATTGTAACCTACAAATCAAAAAATAAATAAAAGATCTTTTCTTATTTCAAATGAGACTACTTTTTCTTTCTTTCTTTTTTTGTATTCAAAACCAATTTCGGTGAGGCTTCCGTTGAGTCACCTGCAAATAGAGAGACAGAAGGGTAAGAGAGCGAAAACAAAATAAAAAAAGGGCATTTGATCAGTATCCTTCACCAGGGACGAAGACTTCTGTTGGCAAATTCGAAAGGTGAGAAGGGAAAGAAGGCCAGTGGGAATAACATATCTTGGAATAGCGACAATCCGACGGTGGACGGTGGTTGATCAGGGAGAAAATATTCGAACGGTTTTTTCCCTTTTTCCGACGATCAGAGTGCCTCTCGAAGAAACGGACGTCGAATCACAAATCTCCTCATCGAGACAAGTCGTCCGGTGTGATTTGGTACACATTAACGACGACGAACGGCGGTCGTTGGTCGGTCAACGGTCGTGATCGACGACGTATAGTGACAAGCGACCTCAGCTTTTAGAGAGAAGAGAGTTTCTCTCTGTAAAAAAATGAAAAGAGCTTCTCTATATAAAGAAAATGAAAATGAAAGAAAATAAGAAAAAATGACCTAATATGGGCATTTAAACCTTTTCCAAAACGACATAGTTTTGAGGAGGCTTATTTTAGGCTCTTTCCCAAAAATGGGTTCCTTCCCTATTAATTTTTTTAGAGTAACCTTTCATATTCCTAAATAATCGTCAAAGGTAACTATCTCGGATCGAACTTTATATTTTCTAAATTTTTAACTTTTGTAGTTAAGACAACCGGGTAATCGTGTGGTACCGAAAGAACAACTCAGGGGTACTCATCATCCCCTGGTTGTAATCGACTCCTGAACTTGACAATTTTCTGGTAAGATGCAGACCCAGTAAATGGTATGTAGGTGTCAGATCTACCTAACTTGAAAATGATCAGTAACGACTCCATCATGATTCCAAGTCGAGCACCAATCTAGGACCACTCGCAGGAGCATTGCGACAGAAAGAGTTTAGGAAATTTAATGATTTTGGTGTTTTGAAGAAGTTTCGTATTAGAAATCCATCAAGCATAGTTTGTAATCCACTTATATTATATACAAGGCAGCATTAGGAGAATGGATTACAAAAAAGTTGCAATAAAACTGTATTCATTTAATTTTCATTAAATAAGTTTACATGAAATATGTTTATAAGATGTATGACAACATAAACACAAACCTACGGTGTACAAACTCTATCCTTTGGATAGCAAACAAACTCGAGTGTCACCATCGTCTACAAGTATGGTTCAAACAATAATATATTCAAAAAATAAATCGATTCTCCTATGGATTTGGTGGGCCCTTCACCATACCCACATTCGAATATGAGTCATATACGAGTGTCGAACATGGTTACTTCAAGAAAAATGAAGAGTCCAAGATTGAATAAGAACAAAATCACCCTTTATCATCTCCTGGGAGCGTCCAAGAATGAATTCATTTCTCTTCCGACAGCTCCAGATTCAGTCTGAGTCCGGTACTTTTCGATTTCTCTTGCTATATGAGCATCGGAAGGTACATACAACTGATAAAGAAATTTCACTACAAAACGGGGAATTAGTGCAGCCACAATGATGGCAAGCAAACACAACCAGAACAATCCAGTCTTTGCAATTTCGAAGATGGCCCTGTCAAAGCATAGCAGTGCCGAGGGTCACAACATCATATACAATGGAAATTATATATATCGACCCATTTACTCTATATGAATAATTAATCAACCAAAAGGTCATAATTGAGATGTTCTAGCCTCGAGATTACTGCTAAGTACATAAATATAGAACTGGGGGAGATCATGCTTACATAAAAACATCATGCATGCGTACATGTATTTATATGCATGTTCATATGAGCACACACATACTTGCTAATCCGTATGACAAATCTGGATAAAAAAGCTTGAACATGAAATCTGCCTGAACCTAATTTGACCCAAACTGACTAAAAGTCTAAGGCCAAAACCAGATGGTTCAAACCCAAAGAAATTTGAACAAAAAATTATCCGAATTCAAAGTTCATCCTATATTTGCCACCTCTATTTGTACATATCAATTTATACTTGTAGAACAGTATGTTGTTTTAGCAGGCAAGTAAAAATATTAATGTTTTAAGGTATTTTATGGGGAAATATTTCTCAACATGCTCAATTAAAGTAAATAAAACCTTCTCAGTTAAAGTAAATAAAACCTTGGAATATATATACGGTAAAAGGAGCTTACCAGTAACCAACTAAAAATGGTAAAGAATCAATAACGATAACACAAATGAAAGTTGCGATTATAGATCCCCAAATGGCTGCATGAGTTAACCAATTCCACCGCATGACATCCATGGCCAAATGTAAATTCACCAATATGACAACCGCAAGGGTCCAAAGATCCCCTATGCTCGATGCGTCAACGGTGCTGCCCCAATAAGAAAGAAGAGGAATAAAAAAGGCAACTGCACTTTGCCAGAAAGTATCTATCATTGTTATCCAGAAAAGCTTTTTGTTGTAGCATTCATGTCTTTGCCCAGCACTATACAGATGAGGGTACTTTAAAAGAGTCCTTCGGCTCAGGTCCTTATCAAGAATACCGACCACAATCGTAGGCAACGATGTGTAGATTATGGAATACAACACACTGCTCCACTCAGTGATTGCAGTGGTCAAAGTGAAACAAGTAAAAAGCACATACCTGCAAAGAAAAATAAAAAAGTACTCGGCCACAAATGAATTTCAGCTTCTATTCTGAACCAAGTGTAAATAGTGATTTTCAAAACACACACATATAAATCAGGCAAAGATGACATTATTGCCTTGAACCCTGTTTGTCCTGATAAGTAGCAGACGATGCGATGAATCTAAGGTGAAAATCGAGGTTCACTTAAACCACCAACATGCTCGAACACCAAATCTAGATTGAACATATGCATGCAAAAATGAAGTATCTAAAAGTAACTCACCAAAATAAAACAAGGACAAACACAGCATTCCTGTAAAAATTGTAAAGGATCATGTAGCCCATCCTCTGGTAATTCCAATGGCCATGGACCAACAAAAGAGGGACTAAGAATCTGAATTGCCCCATCGCAAAATCTGATGCCATTACAGCTTGCCTACCTTCTTGGCCACTGATTCCAACCCCGACATCTGCCATTTGGATCATTGAAACATCATTGGCACCTGTCAAGCATCCAATAGTATGGATTTAATTGGTCCAAACTCCAAACCACCATAAAGAAAAATCAACAGATTGATGATTACCATCCCCAATGGCAAGTGTCATGTCTGAAGTCCTCTTCTTTATAAGGGCCACAATTCCAGCTTTTTGTAACGGGGCTACCCGACAACACAAAACCACAGAACAATTACACGCTAACTGGAAGAGCTGCAAGCAAATATGAAAAAGTGTCATATCAGCATGCCGGAAATCAGAAAAGGGGGAAACAAGAGTTTACAACTCCTTACGCTTTCTTCCAGTTCACTGTCAAGAATATATACAAGGCTGCTGCCATCAATAATCAAGGCTATGGGAGTTAAACCAGCTCCCGACATTCCTCCTGTGTCATTTGTAGTGCCTGATATAGTTGTGAGCTTCTTAGACATAATGATGGCATCTTCTAAACTCTTTCTACATGACTCCTTTGATTTTCTGTTAATAATAATTTGTGTCATTTTACTAGTCAAGAGCCTGGAGGAGTACCCAATTGATATGGCAGTTTCTTGCTTGTCCCCAGTCAACACCCATACTTTTATCCCGGCTGTTCTAAGAGACTCAATGGCTTCTGGCACTCCTTGTTGCAGTTTATCTTCAATACCAGAGGCACCTAGTATACATAGATTTTTTTCTATATTGCTTGCAACCTTCCGAAGCAAACTAGCTCTACCCATTAAAGCAGTACTTGCTATTTCAAATGCAGAGTGCCATTCCTTGAATTCTGAAGTACTCAGCTCTCTCATCCCGACAACAAGTGTTCTCAAGCCTAATGAGGAGTAAGAGTAAAGATTGGCTTCAGTTGTGCATATTACATTTTTATTCATAGATCTATCTGCGACACTAAACATTGATGTGTCGGCTCCTTTTACAAAAACTTTTACAGATTTGTCTGAGAACCCCAAAATAACAGACATTCTCTTCCGATCACTATCAAACTCATGCAAACCCAAAACATCAAACCTGCACGACCAAAAACATTTCTATACATCAACAAAAGCATAAAATATGATAAAATGCAGGAGTACAACATCGCAAAACAAAAAATATATCTTTAGTGGGTATTATCATAGGACATCCTTTTTCTCCCAATCCAAAAGTAATTTCAATGTTAATTCTTAATCTTACGATATCCCAATGTCTCAAAATTTCAACAATAAAAGTAAAAAGAAGTGATAGTAAAATATGACTGGTAGACACAGTTTTCCCAACCATAGAACTAGGTAAATATGCAAAGAATGAGTAACTTGAAAAAAATGATAATAAACTCAAAGAATAAAAAGCTATGATTGACTTTGAACCATGAAAATTACAGGTCATTTTCACTTGTACAGGTTAAAAACTTAGTTCCGACCCCCATGCTGTTGGTGCAAAATTGGTTGAGGAAACTTCAAAAATGAAACTTGTATATATACCGATTTATCCAATAAAAAGTTAGAAAACTGCATATCTAGTTTTTTCAAGCATTTCAACTAAATAACCAACAGCAAAACTGAAACGGATGCAGGTGGAGGTCATCATAATATAATAAAACAGAAATGGTGGAAATGAATTCAACAAGATAGAAATCAGCACTTCATATTACCTTTGCCTTTCTCCTTGAATGTCGATCATAACATGACCAGAGGTTCGTTCTATCAGCATAAATCCATATGAAGCAGCAGCATAAACCAATGCTTGTTCATCTGGAGATTCCCCTTGGTAATCTATCAACTTCACGGTAGGATCAGGCGTATCTACAATTAGAGGCACAATTGTATTGCAAGCTGCCAGTGCCAGGAAGAAATTGTGGACATGACTGCCTTCTTCTGTTTCTTTTCCGTTCCTTGCAAGTTGTAGAAGATCTGGAACAGTCTTAACCTTTATCTTAGGCCTCAAAACACTTCCATCCACTGATTAAAAAGAGGGAAACAAAGTCAGAAAATGCTAAAGAAAACTAAAAAATATTCCTTTCTATGACGGAAAGTAATGGAAATATATCTGTTGTTTACCTTTCACAAAGTAACCATCTTTCTGATCTAGTGAAATGGCTTTCCCACCACTGTAATCTACTCCCCAAATGCTTGCACACTGAAATTCCATCTTGTTCTCTGTAAGTGTACCAGTTTTGTCAGAGAAAACATATTTTATTTGTCCAAGGTCCTCATTTATGTTCAAAGCCCTGCACTGAAATCTTGAATTTGAAGACTCGTCGTACATCTGGGTATCTCGAATCATGAAGTAAGCCTGACCAACCCGGACTAGCTCCATGGAAATATACAGCGAAATGGGAATCATGACCTGGAACACAATTACTGACATGAGGAATGTGAAACAAATTTCCAATCCCCATCCAGAATAATTATAGTTCTCTTCTTCTCCTTTAGAGAAATTCTTTCTTCTATAAAAGGGCATGTAATCCAACTCGTCCCTATGGCGCCTCAACCAAACAGTGGTACAGACAGAGACAACTGTACACAAAGCAATAAGAAACAGTGAGAGGAAGATGATCTCCAAGTTCATATGAGTCTCAAGCCGGCTCCTCTTAGATGGGGCTCCTGAGCTGTTAAGTATAGCTTTCGTCTCACGGCCAGCATAGACTGCAACCCCAACTGCCCAAGCAGTATTTTTGAGCTCACAGCCACGAAGAATAATGTTGGAAGGACCAAGTGACAGTCGTTTCCCATCAACTTCCATGTTCGCTTGAAACCCATATATGTTCCTGTTGGGTTTCTCACATTTAATCAACCCAGTAATCTTATCCTTCTCAGGAATCTTGATAAGGGTCTCTTGTTTTGCATACCGTGTCTTCAAATTCGATTCTCCATCCAAATTAATAGTCTGTATGTATGCAACCCCAGTTGGATCACTAGTTGAGAGCAGAACCATATCACAAGGAATGGTTTCATTTGCATAAATCTTGATAATCTCACCAACCTGAATGTTCTTCCATTTCTTTTGTTGAAACTGATCATTCACCAAAACTGAGGCTAGCCTATTATTCTCAATCCGGTCCGACTTATGGCGCCTATGGTCCTCATATGCATCCTTAACTGCTGTAACCAGAAGGACAAATGCCAATGGCAGAATGGAAACTCCACGGCCAAATACTGCAAGCTGAGGCAGCTGATTAAGCACAGCAATCACAAGAAAGTATATATAGGCAACTCTATGAAACTGCTCAAACAAGTTCCTCGGCAAAAATGTTAGGATTGAGTACTTTCCGGTCCGAATCGAATTCCCGGAAAACTCAAACCTCTCATTTGTCAGAAAAGGATCATTTATGTGTACCAGCCTAGCATCTTCAACATCGATCTCTTTTTGTGACATGCTAATGCTATTTGTCTCTGAATTAGCTCCGTGAGACCCATATCTAACAGATTTTGGTTCCAAACCACCAAAATTGGCCTCCCTAATTGAATTCCTACCCGAAGCTTTGGACTGGATAGAAAAATTGCTCCTTCTTGATGATGAACTCAAGGCAGATCCAACGCTATAAAAATCCTCAACTGATTCTGAATCCATCCCCAAAACAACTAAAGGAGCTCCTTCAATTTTCTTCTCTGAGATCAGAGGTATATAATTCAAAAATAACTATCTATGGATCAAAGGCACCTCCAACAGTTCAAAGTCAACAAATCAACAAAATTCATGAAAATACCCAGATTGTGGTTTCAACCAAATTTGCTGGTTCCATAATTCTAAAGAAATGCTCAAAAGTCAAAACTGAGTTTTTGAATCCATCAAAAACACAATTGGAGGATCCCTTCCAACTTTCTTCTCTTACATCAGAGTAATACATTAAGGAAACCACTATCTACGGATCAAAGACACCTTCATCAGCTCAAATTCAACAAATCAACAAAGCTCAGTAAATACCCAGATTATGGTTTCAACAGAATTTGCAAGAAAACCAAACATCAGCAAGAGATGCCAAGAAACAGAAAACGACCCACAAATCCAATCAGCAGAGTAAATCCAAAGCTACAACCCAGTACAAATACACAAGTACAAAGAAGAAAGAACCTTTGCTTTATGATCCTTTGTTTGAAACTGAGCAGGTTCAAGAGCAAGACATGGAAAGGAAAATCTGTAATTATGAAGGCAGATGTGCTGATGCATTCAATTCTGCCATTTGTTGACAGAGTGATGAAAGTGTTCAAAAGTCAAGGGGCACGGTAAATTTGTAATGGAAAAGAATGAGAAAAGAGGCCGGCAATTCAAGAGTTAAGTACAAACAGACATCAATGAATGTTGAATCAAGTCCTTTTCATTTCACTTGGAAAATTCAAACCCAAATTTTAATTTCATAATGAAAAGGAAATATGAAAACATGAAACTTTAATTCCTTTTATTTATGTTGGAGTGTGGACTACCATTTCACAAGAGAGAAATTCATTAAAGTCGATTACTTACTGAACGAAGAGAAAAAGGCCCTATTAATGCTACTTTTCCTATTGGACAGCTCATGATTTTCTAATTTACTTTTATAAATAAGAATCTTTGAAAAAAAATTATTTTTGTAGGCCGAATGAAAAGAAACTGATGATTAATGGAGAGCAATTTTTCAGCTGAAATCATTTAAAAAAAAATTACTGATAAACCGGTTTAATTGTTTAAAAAAAATGAGTTTGTAAGTTTATTGAATTAACAAAATAACACTTTATAGTTGATTATCATTTATGTATTTTATCCTATTAAATTTAGCTTTCATATCAATACATGCCAATTTTTATGAAATTGTCACATAATTCGATTATTTATGATTTAATGACTTGTTTTTTTTATTATTATTGTCTTCCAGTTTTCAAGGCTTCGCTCTGATTAATCTGGATTGATCCGGATCGCACACCTAGTTTAGGTGGGTGAGTCTCGTAGCGAGGATTTTATGTATAATACTCGAACCTGAGACTTTACTTAAGCAATATCAAATTGTTTACCACTTAAATCAACCCCGTTGGTTAATGACTTCTTGTTTTAATTGAAAAGTAAACTAAAATTTAACGTTTTAAAATGTTTTAAAGTTTAATGGTAAAATTAGTACACAATAAAAAAATTAGTGGCTAATATTGTAGTTTAAGCTTTTTTTTTTTTTTTGATAAAGCAGTCTCTGAGTATAAGGTATTGTTTTGTTGAGTTCCGACTATTAAAAGTTCAAAATGATTTATTGACAAAATGGTCATTCGATTGTTCATATGTTCCAAACTCATCATTTTCTGTTAATAAATGATTGCAATATGGGTTGAAAGTAAACATGTTGATTGAGATATGATAAAATCTCATTTCAAAATCTTAGAAGACCATCGTATCTCAGACAACATGTTAACGTCTAGCTCATACAATAGTCAAATTTTTAACAAAAAAATGGGTTTGAAACATATAATAATTGATTGATCATTTTATAACTTTTAATAGTCGAATGATTCAAAATAAATCAACATATAGTTAAGAGATCATTTTTTTATTTTTAATAATCAAGGGACTTAACAAAACACTCTACTATAATTATGGGACCATTTGTGTTTTACCCTTTGTTTTTTCTCTTTAGTTTGGCTTAAGTATAAAATAAGTGTTCAAACTATACATGTTTTCATGAATAGGTGCATAAAGTATTTTTTTGTCTATATAGGTGCCTAATGTTACCAACGTTACCACTTTAGGTGCCCGAGCCGTAACGGCCGTTAAATGAAAATCGTTATCCATTTATTTGCTGACGCGTGACCATGATTTGAATTTCGCTTAAGTATAAAATAAGTGTCCAAACTATATTGTTTATTCCGAATAGGTGCTTATAGTATTTTTCGGCCTATTATGGTGCCTAAGTTATAAACATTACCACTTTAGGTGTCTGACGTTATAAACGTTACCACTTTAGATGCATCAGTGTTAACGACTGTTAAAAAAATTCATTAAGTGACAAAACCTAAAATTTTAAAATACTTTTTTTAAATAAAAATATTATTATAAAAAATGTGTGTTTTCCCTCCCCTCCCCTCCCCTCCCCTCCCCTCCATCTCCTATCTTCATTTTAATTTTTATAGCCAAACGGCCAAAATTCAAACGGTCAACCGATCAAATCGTTAAGGGGTTGGTTTTCACAGTTGATTACTACGATCAATTAAATGAATTTAAAGGATTGAGTATTTGAGATTTTAGGGATTAGGGATTAAAATTTAGGGATTTTGAAATTTATGTTTTGATATGATATTAAGAGTTGCAACCAGTTAGTAGGTGGTCGACAACGTATGGGTGGTTCGCAGTCGACGAATGGGTGGCTAGAGATGACCGTCAGTTGTAGTAAATGAGACTAAAATAAGAGATTTTAAGAGTTTAAGTTTTTTTATTTAAGAAAAAAGAGATTTTTTTTGCAAATAAAATATTTTTAAGTTTTTTTAAATAAAATTTTAAATTTACCATATTATAAAATATGTTACTTAACGGGGGTTTAACGACCGTTAATACTGAGGCACCTAAAGAGGTAACGTTTATAACTTAGGCATCTGGATGGGCCGAAAAATTCTATAGGCACCTATTCGATAAAAGGTATAGTTTGAACACTTATTTTATTTTAAAGTCAAATTCAAATCTTGGTCACGTGTTAGCAAATGAATGGATAACAATTTTAGTTAACGACTGCTATGACCTGGACACCTAAAATGGTAACGTTAAGTATCTAGATTGACCGAAAAATACTTAGGGAACTATTCTTGAAAACATTTATAGTTTATACACTTATTTTATATTTAAGTTCTTTAGTTTTAAACCCTCGGTTTATAGGATAAGTTTAATATAAAAATAAGTGTCTAAATTATACTTAAGATTAACTTTTGGTGGTTAAAGAATTTTTTACTAAAAACATGTGTCTAAAATTTTTACTATTATATTTGTAAGTACCTACCGTTAAGAAAAGTTAAGGGACATGTTTCATTTTTAGATTTAAAAAATATTTTTAAATAATATTTTTTAAAAATCAGAACGTAACATATATCACTTAATAATTTTTTAATGGTATACACCTAAAAATATAATTAGAAAAATTTTAGATACTTACAAAATTTCTTTAAATACTAAAATATTTTTCGAAACTTACTTTTGGAGAATTTTTTATACACTTATTTTTTTATTAAGCCTGATTAAACTTAGCTTTTGTAACACGCACTAGTCTCGACTTCGCACTTCTGACCTAATTCTTTTCCTACTCCTTTCTTCATTTCCCATCTCTCTGCCACCGTTCCCCTCTCACCACCGTCGCCCTCCGCCGGCGAAAACACTGCAATTTCTGTTCTTGGTACAATAAAGCAATCTAGGCATTGGTATGTTTGGTAATCTATCACTGCAGTGTTCTTTTTCTTTTCCTCTAATGGTCGCATTTTTTAAGTACTAATTAAGCTAATCGTATAAAGCTTTTCTTTCCAGTGGTAGTTTTCTTGGCGAAGAACGAAAGGTGGTAGAAGGAGACGATGGATGATAAGCTTATAAACTCCGTACACTCCACGGTTTTCAAAGACTCGGATTCCATCGAAGGGACTTGTACTAGAATCGAAGGTTATGATTTCAACCAGGGTGTAAACTACTCCCTACTTCTCAATTCCATGCTCTCCACCGGTTTTCAAGCTTCCAACCTCGGAGAAGCTATTCAAATTGTTAACGACATGGTTGGTTTCATTTATTTAAATCTCTTTTTTTATATTGAATATTATTTCAAAAACACGAATAAAGTGAACATTTTATGACTATTTCTCGAATTAATAGATAATACTGGATGCATATTTATAAGTGTTAGTATTCGGTCGAGTCAAGTAAAAAATTGACTTATTTGAGTTGATGACTCTTATTTTATAACTCAAACTTTAATTTTTTTTTTTTGTGTCGAGTCAAGTTTATAAAAATTGAGTATAGTCTAATTGCTCGGTTTATGTTTAAATTTAATTGTAAATATCTACAATATTGTGTTACTATGTGATTCCAGTATAAATGGTTATCTATAACGATATACAACATACGTATTTAATATTTATATATATCATGTAGAGGTGATGAACTCGACTCAAATTTAAAATCCAATTACTAATTACTAAAATTTCAAGTTATTCGAGTTCTGTTTTATAAATCCACGAGAATTTTGAGTCTACTTTATTTGAGTCGAGTCGAAAAAAATCATTTTTTTTTTAAATTTAGTTGAGTTTTGTTCGCCCCTACATATTTAGCAATGAATTTGAATTTCATGTTTTTGTACCTTTTAAATAAACATACAACCATATTGAATCTCGACTATTCGAATTGTGTTACCAAATGTAGAGTTGCTGTTTTCGATGTTATGTTGTTAGCTTAATTTGTGAGAGTATTATTAATCTATGAAGTTAGATTGGAGGCTTTATGATGAGACTACAGCTGAGGACAGCAGCGAAGAAGAGAAGGATCCTGCTTATAGAGAATCTGTTAGATCCAAGGTGTTTTTGGGTTTTACATCGAATCTTATTTCATCCGGTGTTCGTGATACTGTTCGATATCTTACTGAGCATCACATGGTGAGTTCCAAACCAGACTTTCTTTTGTGTAGAATTGGTATTTCAGAATACAGATTTTATTCTTTTGCTTCATTTCAAAAATCTGTCATCGTGTTCTTCATGTCATCATATGCCTCTTGATTTAAGTAGTGTTGCTCGTGAAATGATTTTAGGTAGATGTAATAGTAACTACAACTGGTGGCATAGAAGAAGATCTTATAAAGTGTCTTGCTCCAACATATAAGGGTGATTTTTCGCTACCTGGTGCTCTGTTACGTTCAAGAGGATTGAACCGCATTGGTAACTTGTTGGTTCCTAATGACAATCACTGCAAATTTGAGGATTGGATCATTCCAATTTTTGACCAGATGATGAAGGAACAACTTGAAGAGGTACTTTCACACACAGACTCTGCTATGTCATACCCATGTTGCTCCATCTTTTTCTCTTTACTTCTTCTATCCATGTCCAAACATGTCTAGATAAGGGTATGAGCTATGACCCTCCAAGGATTTCCCACTTGTATATAAAAACTTAGGATAAAATTGTAACATACCTGACACGTCATATATGACACATACCTGAGTCCAAGTAACATAGACCATACCCTCTTATTAGTTTGATAAGTTTAAATTGACGCAATGATTTAGGGACCTTTTAGTTTTCCATAAATGTTGAAAAGATGCTGATCTCTTGATCTCGACTTCCGTTATTTTGTTATTGTAGAATAATTCATCTCTCATTTGTCACTGTTCCAGTGATTTCAGTTACCATTAGTAGTTTTTTCTTGTGTTTAGCGGTGTTCGTCATTTCTGTTAATTTCCTTCTACTTGTTTATGGTTTTAACAGAATGTATTGTGGACTCCATCAAAGTTAATTGCACGCTTGGGACGAGAAATAAATAATGGAAGTTCATACCTCTACTGGGCGTACAAGGCAAGTGTTCATACTGATTTAGTCTAATGCTATGAGAATGTAACTACTTTTTCCCTCTCTTTTTCTTTTGTACGTAGCAATGATTATGTGTAATCATAATTCATTAACTACACCCTCATTGAAGTCATATATTTTACTAATAAAAAAAAATTAGCTGACCCTATTCTCATATGTAATGGGGTAAGGGGAGGTAGGATAGTAGGCTGCCCCAACGCCAGGTTGAGAGCAGCTTCCGTGGGAGACCTCCGGCAGTCAAAATTATGATCCACGACCACAAGGTTAAGAGCCTTGCGCTCTACCAACTGAGCTAGACGGGCAATTCATATATTTTACTAATAAAGTTAGTGATATTTGTTTAATCTATCGTGAAATATTGCATTTTTGCTGTGAAGATATTTTGTTACTGCTTGGACTGCCTATGTTCTTTCCTTTCTACTATAATGTAGTAAGATATGAGTCGTGACTCATGCCAACTGATTTAATATCCTCTTGAGCAAGTGATTGAGTTTATTTATTACTGAAGGAGGCCCCATTAATGTGTTCCTCTGGAACATTATAGAACATGTCTTTTGTATCATATTTAAGAAGTTTAAGTATCTTTTTTTTTTTGGTTCATTAAAAAGTTTACGTATCTGGGGTTTGTAATTTTGCTCTATGCAACTAATCTTTAAGTACTTGTCTGCATAATGTTAGTAGCATTCATTTTTCCTTTTATAATGTTGCAGCTCAATTTTGTTATTTGTTTGTATTTTCTAGAACAATATTCCTGTCTTCTGTCCTGACTTAACTGACGGCTCCTTAGGGGACATGCTATATTTTCATTCTTTCCGCAGCCCGGGTCTGATAGTCGATGTAGTGCAAGGTAGGTCTTCTATGTTTCCTCTTCATTTACTGCTGCTACTTGAGGATGAGGGATATGATTATCTCTAACGTTTACTTTTTGAGCAGATATTAGAGCCATGAATAGTGAAGCAGTCCATGCAAATCCTAGGAAAACAGGAATGATAATTCTAGGAGGTGGATTGCCGAAGCATCATATCTGTAATGCTAACATGATGCGTAATGGTGCCGATTATGCTGTTTGTATAAATACAGCTCAAGAATACGATGGGAGTGACTCAGGAGCCCGCCCGGATGAGGCTGTTTCATGGGGCAAGATACGAGGCTCTGCTAAAACAGTAAAGGTATGCCTTTGTACTACCCTGTCAACTCCAATAAGTTCTTCCTTTCATCCGTATTCTTTCTTGCCTTCGACTTTCATTTCCATTATTTTTCCTCATAAATAAACAAATATGTCATCTTAGTTTCATGATTTTGTATGTATTGAATCAGGTACATTGTGATGCAACTATTGCTTTCCCCCTTTTGGTAGCAGAGACGTTTGCTTCACGATCGAAAAACTTTCTGGCCTAGTACTTGTTTTTTTCTACGAGACTGCGGATTCATCTACTCGTATTAATCACAGTGGCCTCCTTAAGGCGGTAAATTATTCTTTGGTCTGGCATAGTGACTGTAGACACCCGTTTTTGTCCGGGTCTTTTTTAATATTATTATTATTATCGTTATATTATTATTATTACTACTATTATTATTAATTTACAAATTTTACATTTTGTTGCAGGCTATTAAGCCCATCAGTACATCAAGCCCAACTGCCAACCCAGACCCAGCCCAGCGTCCAGGATCAGACCCATCTGCTGACCCAAACCCAGCCCGACTCAGCAACCTTAGACATTAGGGTTTTCATCTTCTCTTACCCAGCGCCGCATCATTCAGACCGTTAGATCTGGACCGATCCAACGGTCTAGATCAAGAGCTATTTAGGGTCTGAAACCCTAACCATAGTTCTGAGCCCTAGCTTTTGTCACCGCCTGTATCCTCTGCTGCCGCCGACTGCTCCCACCTGCACCAACAGTGACCCAAAGCCTATTCAAGTCAGAAAATTAGAAGAAATTATTATCCTAGAAATCTAGGATATTATGACTCTACATAAGCAAATTTAATCCATCAACATCAAAGATCAGAGGGGGACCATATAATTAGAGAGAGGAGGTATTCGAAAAAAAGAGAAATAAAAGAGAGAGTACTGGGGGGTTTCCAGAAAAAAAACAAGGAAAATATGAGGGGATTTCGGGGTTTACAAAAAAAGAAAAAGGGGAAACCGAGAGGTTTCAGAGGGGGAAAACGACAATATCACAACCAAAAGAGAAAAAAAGAAAATACAGAGAGAAAATAGAGAAAATATTTGCCTCGGTGTGAAAAACGCCTTGCATGGCTGTTGGAGTCGAAGAAACCGAAAGGTTTCATCTTGGATTCACGGCGTTTGAGCCGTTTTCAGGCCAGGTGGACCCCTGATCATTGTTTAGGGCTTTGAGACGTTTCGATTGGTTCCCGTCTCTTTCTCTTCCGACGCCAGCGTACGGCGACGGTCGCCGGGCAGTGACGGCCGGCACGATGGAGGCGCTTCATTCCCAGAGAGTTCTCTGGAACTATCCCTCGCTCTCTCTCTCTCTTCTCTCGTTGTGAAGGCAAGCAAATGAGGAGAAGTGAGTGACTTAAGCCCGATTTTGGGCTTATATTATTCAACCAAAACGGTGCCGTTTCAACAAGGGACCTTCAGCGTGTTTTCATCTTATGGGGTAACTACAGTTTAGGTCCCTCGTATGTAATCTGTTATTTTGGTCATTAATAAAAATTATGATATTTTACTTTGGGCATTTATCTTTCGATATTTATGATTTAGCCACTGAGTTCATGAATTATAATATTTTCTATGATGTTCGAATTTGGCCATATTATTTTCCGCATGCTTCACTTTGATCACTGTTTAATATTTGTTGTATTTAGGGCTAATTGTTATTTTCCCTTGCATGTTTTTATTTCATTTATTTTAGTCCCATATGTCTGTAATCCTATATATTTAAGTATTTAGAGTTTTGACTGATGATTTTGTGTAGTATTCATTTTAGTCCTTCGTATTATTCAACATTTAAAATTGAATAATTTATGCTTTGAAGTCTTGTTTTGTTTCATTTGTATTCTGGTCACTCTATTTAATCTGTGTTTGAAGCTTAGGGGTTTATTGCTCATTAGATCCTCACTGTTTCGTTTTTTTAGTTTTCAATGCTTGAAATGATTGTATTACATGTTGTGTTTATTTTCATTGGTGTTATATATATATATGTATATGTGTAAGGGTATTATTATGTACTTTTGTTTTGCATATTATAATTATGTTCATATTTTTATAAATAAATAATATATATTAATGTTACAATATTTGTGTGTATTTTAGTTTGAATTTGTATCTTGATTTATTAGATGTTTTTACTTACATTTTTATGTATATATTTTAATTATTGTAATTCCTTTACATGTTTAAAGATGTAATTATTTTTATTTATTAAATTTTATTCCTTTATGCGTTGTTACTCAAATGTTTTTCAAGAACAACGATTTATAGAATGGGCGTGGAAAGCATCGCTTGATCGAAGCGGGTGTAATCCGATACGACATTTAAACAAAACGTGAACTTGAAATCAATGAACTTTATTTTGGTAATTAATTCATTTTGTATTTAAATTGAATAACATCATGCATGTTTTTAAATAGCAATTTATTCCATTTTATGCAAATGTCGATTTTTTTATACTCGATTCGCGTTTTGTCAAAAAGAGAATATTCTTTACGAATGAGAAATAGCCGAGTTAGCTTTCCCGACGGAGGATTGCTAATTTTGAGATTTTTTTAAGTTAAAGAATTTTCTCTAATTATTTAATTCGAAGCAAATCAATCAATGTTCGATAAATAGATCATATTTTAACTTTATATTCGATTTGTAATTTCTACTATTTACAACAATGTGTAAGCGACACAGTACCAGTTTTTGGGCGTTGTGGGGTGTTAATCCTTCCCCACACGTAATCGATTTCCGAACCCTTTAAAATGAATCTTTGGTAATGCAGACCGAATTTTGTCTTAAAAAATGATTTTTCTTAAAATTGTTTTAAAAGACGTTTTTAGGTATTCGATCTACCTAACTCAAAGGTCGATGGCGACTCCATTTTCCATTTTATTTCAATCAATTCAAAATCACCGATTTTTCCAAAATAAAGTCATAATCGTTTTTAAAATAATATTTAATTGTTTTACCTAAAAAAATGGTTATGACAGCTTGGCGACTCCGCTGGGGACCTTTTTTTTAGAGAGTCAAGCTGTTGGTCGCTTATACTTTGTCGTCTTGGTGGAAATTATGATTTCGAGTGTTTAGTTAATTTATGATCCGTCTATTGAAGCTTTTAATTGCTTCATTTTTTATTTGTCATACTAACATTTGATTTTTTTTCTTTCAGATCGGTCCAAGTTTTTGTCGTGATTTTTTTTTCTTTTTTCTTTTCTGTTTTGAGTCAAAGGTAGGTACATTCCTCCTCACACACATCACGTGCATTTGCATAACATAAGCTCTAGACACGAGCTTCGATCCAAATTAGTCGGGGTGAATGCTTTACTCTCGTAAGAATTTATTCTTCTTATGAGTTTTAGCAAATAACCCATGGGATACATATCTTATACATTCGTAGGGATTTATTCCTCGTATGGGTATAAGACATTGAATCCCCTTGAATTGAACTCGTTCCGCTCGAAACCTGTAATGGGTGAGGGTCGAGGGTTTTGACAGCCCAAGGGGGCACCGACATCAAGGACAATTCGAGACCCTTTTCCTGTTAGAGCCGAAACCATGCATATAGTGAATCGTAGAACGGTCACCCTAGGTATAGTTATACCGAACCTTTGTCCGTCAGTAGGCACCCAAACTAAGTGTACACAAAGGAGGAGTGTTTCTAAACCCTTATCTTTTGCTTTAAGTTCGTAGAATTTATTTTCTTTTCGAATAAAAGCATGCGAACTAGATACCATGCGGTTAGAACCAATTCCTTGAAAATAGATCATTGTGGGTAGAAAGCATGTCCGGGTAGGATTGATATCTATTGAAAGCATGCCCGGGTAGATATCATGACGGGGTAGGTGTTATATTCATCTCTGAATAACATGTTTATCTGTATCGATTATCTTACTTGTACTAACTAATTTCTTTTCTTTTGTTTTTGTACTAATTTATTTCTTCTCTCTTGTTTGTGTCATTTTTCATCATTCTTTGCATTACATTGCATCGTCATGACATAATGCGAAAAGTGTTGATCCGTAAGGGGATATCCGAGAGAAAAAAATTTTCACAAGAAGAGATAAAAGTTTTCAATCAAGCAGTCGCATACGCAGACATGCACCGAGGGCTAAAAAGAAGTCCAGAGTACAAGAATGAGATTTTCTCGAAGATCGTGCATCATTCGAGATTGATATGATAATCCACTAATTCGAGGAGTAATCCAGCAGTGGAGTTTTATCTACAATCATGTCATCACTAGTCATCAAAGATCGACGTACTGGCTTCAATACCGCCGATGCATTAACAGAGTTAGTTTATAGAACATTGAGGGGCATCAGTTCCAAATACGAAGATCCAAGACGGAGCAGTGATCTCGAAGATCGTGCAATATTCGATACTGAAATGATGATCCAATGATTTGAGGAAGAATCTTGTAGTAGATTTTCTTTTACGATCATTCCAACTCTAATCATCGAGGAGTGACGCAATGACTTCAGCACCGCCGGGGCATTAATGGAGTCAGGTTATAGAGCGCTTGAGGGGCATCAGTTCCGAGGACAAAGATCCGAGACGAAGTAGTGATCCACTTCATACTCAACATCTAAGCGAATGCATGTCTGTAAAGTGAACTGTCTTGTAATGTGAAAGCTTTTATCTTTGGTGAAAATTCTTCTAAGTTATTCATCGTTGGGATCAGCATTTACGTATTTGCATATTTGCATTTTGTATCTGTATTTTATTTTTAAGCATTTTCATATGCATCATTCATAAGAACATGGGATCAATTTGTGGAGAAGTCAATGGAAGTGATCCTGATCACGCGACCATATTGAGAATAGAAGCAAGAGGATGAAATCAGCGATTGAAGCTTGTTCAGCTGGTGGTAGGGTTGAGCCTTCCAGGATGATCCGAGAAAAGAGTCCCCGTTCCTTGAAGTCCATGGTGTTGGTACCACATAGGAAGCCCCAGACCTTCCGCTGAAAATTGTAAGGCACTAAAACGCAAGATCCAGAACATAATGGATTCAGGGGCATGTACAATCAAAGAAAAATGGGGGCATTGCATCTACCACTTGCACTGAGAGCATAGTTTTTTTTGAACTCGTTTTTTTCCTTCTTTAATATTTTCATAAATATTTTTAATTTTTGATGATTGAAATTATGCTACCTTCTAAGGTTAAATAATTGAGCGAATTTTAATCTTGAGTTCTTTGAATATGAAATGAATTACGGATTTTCTTAAATCTTCAATAATTATAGATTTTTGACATATGACAAGATTAGACCTTTCTTATCCTGTCCAAAACCCCAAAAATAAAATATCTCAATTCTTTACCCGAAATAATTCGTGGTCACTTCTAAAGAACCAAATTTTGACATTGCCTCTCTTTGAGACTTTGAAATATTACCTTTATTTTTTTTGAGACCCAAAAGTCATACACATATCTTTCTTTGAGCCAATGAAATCACAATCGTCTTCTTAGACGTAAAACCGACATTTTTCTACCAATAAAACCTACAAGCACTGAGTACAAGATGTTCACTTGAACATGATCCTTCCTACAAGAAGAAATAATGTGGGGCATCTCGCAACAATTTTCTGAAGATGAGCCTGAACAGTGAGAGACGCTGAGAGCAAGGAGCAAATAAAAGAAGAAATTATTTCAAAAATAATTTTATCATGCATTAATTACATTGTTTTCATGTGAATAAAAATTAATCCTGAAAATCTATCCCCATGGGGATACCTCTTCTGCAAGGACTTTTGTGTATGAGATGATGAACGGCTTTCTTTCTTTATCCATTCACAAAAGGAGAAAATATATCCCTTGTGTCCCCATTTGAGCCTGAATGATATTTTCTTCTGATTCAACCCTAATCAAGGATCACCCTCCATATTGGGGGGCAAGATGGAGGAAATCTGCTCGCATGAGTGAAGACAATGATTCAGATGAGATATCGAAAGGTGAACCGAATGCCAAGTGAGAAGATCCAATCAAAACAAAGAAAAAGAGAAACAAAGAAGAAAAAGCAAAAGACAAAGAAAAAAGCAAAGAAAAAAAACAAAGAAGAAAAAGCAAAAGACAAAGAAAAAAAGCAAAGAAAAAAAACAAAGAAGAAAAAGCAAAAGACAAAGCAAAAAGCAAAAAGAAAACAAGAAGTACAGACAAAGACTCCCTCGAGACAAATGACGCATCAAGCTGTAAACTATGAGATGGATCAAGCACAATCATTTCAGAATCACTTCATTTGAAGATCATAGAACATTAACAGAAAAACACATGTGAGCAGATTCAAATTGAGCAAGACAAAATCGAAGGCATCA